GTCACAGCAAAGGGTCTGAATACTTAGGACAATGTGATATTTCAGTTTTTCTTTTTTAATAAATCTGCAAAAATGTCAACAATTCTGTGTTTTTCTGTCAATATGGGGTGCTGTGTGTACATTAATGAGGAAAAAAAATTAACTTAAATGATTTTAGCAAATGGCTGCAATATAACAAAGAGTGAAAAATTTAAGGGCGTCTGAATACTTTCCGTACCCACTGTATATATGTGTGTGTGTGTGTGTGTGTGTGTGTGTGTGTGTGTATATATATAAATAAAATTAGGAATAGTACAACACTGAGTTCTGCCTCTTCCATTGTTTACGTGTTTTCCATGTATTTACTACAGATGGGCGTCATGCAGAGGAAAGTGGATCCAAGTCCAGAACACGGAGTCGACGCAGTCCAGACAAAAGTTCCCGTAGTCCCTTGAGGAATAGCACTCTGGACAGCAACGCCAGGAAACTCAGTGCAGTGGAGTTCAGAGAACCACTCGTTTCATACAGGTTAAAGCTGCAAAGAATTAATAAGTTAAAGCTGAAGTGTTTACTTGCAACCAGAAACTGCAATAATAATGATTATAGGATTTGTTCTTGGAAATCCTCTTATGCTCTTCACTTTAAACTGACATTTTATTTTTAAACTGATTTGTCTTTTTTGTTGTTGTTGTTGTTGTTGTTGTTTTTTAATATAGGGAAGCATCTCCGCTGCCAGTGTCCCAGACTCACTCTCAACCAGAAGTCCATTCGTTACCGACAGAGGTGGGCGTCCCTCAGGCTGACTTTGCTCTAAGCCAGCTGGTTTATCAGCGTGACACCCGAGACATGCAGACTGCTGACCTGGACAGCCCACGCTCCTCAGCTGTAGACAGCACATCTGTACGCTACCTCAATGACCTGTCTGCTCTCAACGCCATTCACCAACCTGACCAAGCCCCACTAGGGTTAGAGGTCATCCCCAGAACACATTTACAGGCCGAGACATCCCAGACTTCCCTGACATCCATCACCGGTTCAGTCACAGCTTCCCTATGGCTGCAGAACATGCGGCGTCGGCAACCTGATGAAAAGCTGGAAAAGCTGAAAGAGAGAATCCGCAGACAGAGGGAACATTTGGAGGAGACAGAAGAAAGAAACAAGCTGCTGGGATACTTGGAGCAACCTGTGGGTATTGGAGCGGCAGCACATAGTACCACAGTACCTACTGCTAAAGTTCGGAAAGTGGCCCCAGCCCCTCCAGCGCCCATTTACAAAGGTAAGTTGACTACAGAGAGGAAAGGTAGCAAATTCAAATAGGGCAGTGACGGTCGCCGTGACGCGGTTGTCTACTGCCACCGGCGGTAGTGCACGTGACGTCACGCACTCTATAACAAGCATAATACGAAGTTTTGTATACAAGAGTAATAACAGTAGCAGAGCAGTGAACCGTGTCTACACTGGACGCGACACCACCGCGTCACAACAGGTTGAGTCTGTCTAGTATCTACACAGGACATTTGAACTCTGTCAGTACCTCATAAATAGAACAAGGCAGTTTACTGTCGGGGATTTGTCATGTCGTGCCGCATTCAGTGTAGCATCACTGATTATAATGAGTTTTATAGTATTTTGTCGCACCGCGTCCTGTAGACAGGGTGTATTTAACTTTCTTATTTAGGCTACTTTCTTGTTTAACTGTATTATTTCTTTGATATTTATTTTAGTGTTTTGCAGGCTGCGTATTCACTGACTGAAGTGCTAAAATAAACACGAGCTGACGAGTTAAATCGGGTGTGTTAGATGAGTGAGACAGTGCTGGGATGCTCCTGGACCGTTTTGAAAAGCATTTCAGAGACATGTTCTTAAATGTGATTCATATAAAATATATTACATGCATGCACAGTTTTAAGGCAGCTTTAATCGCCTTTTTGGTAACTTCATGACTTAACTGACCACGGCATTGCATGCACGTAGTTTATTTCGCGCTTTGATATGAAAGGATACAGGCTACAGCGCGCCGGCGCCTTTGTGCGTGCAATTGAAGAGCACGTGCTTCGAGCACAGTACCGTTTCCGCTCTCGTTTGACTCGTGCCTGGCACCGATTGTGAAAAGGAGCGCGCGTCTGAAACGTCTCCCGTTCTCAGTCTTTCTGCGATTGAATAAATGCACTTCTTGTCAAGAGAAAAACTGACAGAAGCAGCAGTTGTGAGTGGGGTGGCCAACCCTAGCCCCGCCCCTGCGTTAATTGCATTAAATATTTTTTTGCGTTAAACTGAAAAAATTTATCGCCTGCGTTAACACGCTAATTTTGGCACCACTAATATATATAATAGTAATTATATATAGCCTGTATATATATATTTATATCAACACCGCGCCACCGGTGGTAGTTGGTCCCTTACCACCACGGTGGTAAAAATCTGCCACCGTCACAGCCCTAGATTCAAACCCCGAAAGGGAATTCACCATTGAGCTTGAGCGAGGCACTGAACCATAGGTTGCTCCGTCCCAGTAATAGCTGTACTCGAAAATAGTTAGGATAAAAGCATCAGATAAATGTTTTGAGGTTGTCGAATGAGAGGAAGCTCACTTCTGTGTTTTCTCGTTTTTTTAGGCTTCAACACCAGTGAGACTAAGATTCGCACACCTGATGGGAAAGTGTGGGCAGAGGAGGACTTCCAGAACTTAAGCAGGGAAATATACAAAGACCTGACAAAACAGCTTACAGGTATACATAGTTTTCCAGAATGTTATAATATGTAGTATAATATAATAAAAAAGTATACATTATTGTAATATCTTTATGTAAACATTACAAGAAGTACAGCAATACAACAACAGAGTAGCCACAGTATTTAGCCTGTGCTATAAGAAACAACACATTCACACTATGTGAGTGGTGTAATTAAGGTACTCACAAAAATGTTACAGTATCTCGATCATGCGCAGTTCATTGGTTGTCATCTTAAAGTCACTGATGCTATAAATATGTTTTACATTTGAGTCATCCTCTTGATTTCAGCCTAATTGCAGCGTAGTGAATTGGGCATTTATTTATTTATATGGAATTAAAATGTTTATCCATTTATGTTTGGAGCTCAAATGCGTTTTACTGCCCTCTGACTCAGGAAGCATGAGTAATGAACAGGAATTAGGACAAAAACACCGTTTTACTTGCCACTCAAAGCAGATGAAACAACTTACAGAATTCATGTGTTTCTGCCGGATTGAAGTATGGTCAAAAAGTATGCTTAATCCAAACCGCTCTTGGACGATGACTTACATGCTCCTAATTGGCTCAGAGTTTCCAGGCGTACTGCCACAGCCATAGTTACCAGTTTTCATGTCAGCCCAGACTGTTCTTAGGAGTTTTCTTCAAGGTTGTTTGTAAGGATGGCATCAGTTAGCTTAACCATTCCTTAAAATAGCATTATGGAACAAGCTCATTTATAATATGTATAACAATGCTGCTTAATTCCCTGTTGGCCTACTATAGATTTGAGTTGCTGTCATTAAAGAGGCCATATGGTACACATTTGTAGCAGTCCATTTTAGTTGTTTTATAATTATATAAGGATTCTTGCTTCACAGAAAAATCTAATTTTTGGTTTAGATGTCCATTTTCCATAATCAGTCTGTTCCATATTTTTAATTGACATAAACAGATTAAAACGGGTAGTTTGAACGTATTTACGAGAATGAATCAATCATCCGTCTTAATGTGCTCATACCAACTAGATGTCAAATTAGTTTAATGATGGTCTTTAGGACACTTAAGGGCAATTACAAGTGTATTATATAATTTTGAAAATTCACACTATTTAATTTTATATTGTGAATATTCATTGAATCATTGAAGTTTTACCTGTTTTACTCTTATAACGGGCAATTTGATGAATACTGATTAGTTATTGATGTGTAAATATGGGCGGTCGTGTGGTCATTATGCATGGTTAAGAGTGTAGTGTAATGAACAGCAGTGCAATTTTAGTATTATTTATATACTAATATAGTTTTTATTTATATTTTGGATTAGCATTTAATTTTATGCTTAAGTTGTTTCATTTTAGGGTTTGATTGTGCTTTTGTTTTTATTTTATTCAAATATTACTATTTAGGTTTAACTTATTTTTGTTTCAGTTTTAGTTTCATATATTTCCTCTTAGTAATTGTAGTACTTCAACTTAAACATTTTTCAGTTAGTTGCCAATGTAACATTTCTAATTTCTCGTCTATCGTTGACATTTTATTTCAGTTTTATTTCAAATAAAATGTTTTTAATAGTTTCAGTTAATGATAATAATCCTGATCCTCAACCAATTTAATCTTCTCTCTCTGTCCTTCACAGCAGAGAGCACAAAACCAAAGCAGAGGCCTGCAGAGCGAGAAAAGGTGAAAGAGAAGAAACCATCCAAACCTGTTAGGAAAGTACACAGATCTTCCTCTGCACCGGACTCAAATACTAAACCAGGTCTGAGTTCTCTTTGTCATTTGTCATCCTGTCTTTTTTACACTCTGTGTGTTTCTCAAGCAAACAGCTGGAGCTTATTTAAGCAAATGATATTGAAATTCAACATCTGAATGCACATATAACAGTGCTTAATTGTAGTTTTGCATATGACGATCACAATCTGAACTGAAAATGTGCAAATGCTCTGCTGAACACACACACACATGCTGGCAGCCCTGTGTGAGCCTCTCTTGACCTGCCAGCTTTACTGTGCCCTGTTTTCTGCAAGACATTCTTGGAAACAGACGTGTGTGTTAATGTCCGTCTGCAAGCACAAGCTAAGTCTCTTATCCCAACAGAAATTTCTAGAATGTGTAGCATGCAGATTAACAGGATAACTGCGGCAACAGTGACGCAGGAATGCTTGATGTGTCCCAGCTCAAACCGCTGTGGCCTCGCTGACAGCTGGAGAGGTGTTAGTCTAGTCATGACAGGATGGAAAAGTGAAATCGGCCTCCTCCTTCCACCCCTCAACTAGTTTATCCTGTGTACCCCTAACTTCAGAAATAGTACTTAGTACTTCTCATGGTGTCTCTTAGTTTAACTCAATCAAGAAGGTGTAAAACATAGGTTTGTATGTGAGTGTATATGCTTCTAGCTGCACAAACTATATTTTATTTGATGCATTCCAAATGTTTTGGAGTGCAATGCAAAAGACGATTCAAGTACACACTGAATTCTCAACATTGCTGCAAACAGATATTAACATGAATTGACAGTTTGTGTCAATTGTCAGAGAGTGAGAAATGTATTACAATTTGATCTTGCTAACATTTTTGTTTTTTATAATATCATGCACAGATTAATCATGCACAGTAAGACCAGAATCATTTTTTAAATACAGTCCATTTTGCATTCCCGCTATCATTAAATGCGAGCGGGGGGTTTTCTCTGGAGAAAGATCATTTTTACCAGGAGGGTTGATTTAATTAAACATCTGTGTGAATGTGATTCAGTGCAGCTATTCTGTCTCTTTATTATTAGTTACTTTTGCCATACTTTCCTTTCTGCCTTAATCACACTTGTTTAAAAAAAAAAAGTACAAATTAATTATGGACCAACTGTAGTCTCAAGGTATCTGCGTAACCTGTCTCCATAGCAATCAGCACGTCATCGTGGCGAGATGGGCAGAAGCTGGTGAAGATGATGCTGGGGCCACCGCCACGGTTACACAGAGAGCCTCGGGTGAAGTCCTCAGAGACACAGATGAGAACAGGTGAGAAGATGATATATTTGCCAGGCTTCGCACCTGTCACCATGCTGACCGTTAAAGTTAAACCGAACCACAAACAAAACTTAAAATATCTATATTAATTTTGCCTTAAATATCTCGAGCTATTTGGTTTTTGGCTTGTCATATTTTGAATGCCCAACCAAATGATGTCCTTGAGGTGTTTTCAATTAGTTTAGTTTATTGCCAACCGTTATTAAAGGCTACATTTGTTGCAAAGCACTAGTGTTCCAGAAGCTAGTAGCCCAAGTGTCAGGTCTATTAATAAATAAAGATTCAGACAGTCTCCCCGCATTGGTAAACTTTGCTGCCCAGTGACCATAATGAATAGAGTTCGACTGGGTGTTTCTGATTCACTGCACAAGTCGACCTGATTCCTTCCACAGTACTGCTGTCCTCCACACACGCAGGGCTGGACCCAGACTTTATACAGCCACTCTGATACTGATTTATTGAACTGCAGAGACGGAAATGCTCAATGCTGTATTGATTTAAACATTATATGCAAGCAACTGCTGAAAGGGATGTTTTTCCAGTTCAGACATAAATACAAGGCCTGTGACGTAAAAGCGTTGTGTTTTGTTTGTCGACTTATTTATGTATTTTTTTAAAATGCTCGATTTAAACATGTATTTTATTTTTTTTTACATTTAATCATTTAGCAGATAATTTTATCAGAAGCGACTTACAAATGAGGACAAAAGAAGCTCAGCTGGTTCTCATAAGAGCACCTAGAAATTTGTTTTGCATTTTGCTCTGAAACCGGCAGTGCGTAGCCTAGATTAGTTTTTTCTTAGAATGGAAATATTATACAGTATTACAGTTTGTCGATCTAAAACGGTGATTGTGTATTAACAGCTGTCAACCATGTCGGTGCGCAAATGAGTGAACTAAAATTATTTACCCAGCACATTTTTTTTATTTTGGTCGTGCATGCGCACCTGGGCACCACTTATGCTCTATATATATATATATATATATATATATATATATATGTGTGTATTATGTATGTATGTATGTATGTATGTATGTATGTATGTATGTATGTATGTATGTATGTATGTATGTATGTATGTATGTATGTATGTATGTATGTATGTATGTATGTATGTATGTATGTATGTATGTATGTATGTATGTATGTATGTATGTATGTATGTATGTATGTATGTATGTATGTGTGTGTGTATTTATTTATTTATATACATTAATAAACATTAAGTATATATATATATATATATATATATATATAGTGGGAATTCATATATCTTTCATGTTCTTGGCGTATTGAAATATTTGTAAAACAAAGTGTCAAATAATATAAATTTGGTTTCCTGTTTGCCTCTCTCTGTCTTTTCCTGCAGGACCTGGTCCCCGTTCCAGCTCTGATCCTCGTCTTGAGTGTAGCCGGCGTTCAAGGCCCACTAGTGCAGAAAGACCTCGCAATCACGTTCTTCCAGAAGAGCCAGCTGGACCTTCCAGATCAACAGAGGGTGATAGAAGAAAATCTCCCAGCACAGACCTTCTCTCAGTAGACATCCGTGGCATCCTAGATGACCTGCAGCTGGAGGAGGACAGCAGCAGGAGGGCAGAAGCGCCCTGCTCGAAAGTCCATGCCTCAACCAGAGTTTCTCGTAGTGCCAGCCCTGCCAAGACTACCAAGAGAGCAGATCCTCCTGAGCATCCCATGGCAAAGAAGCGGCACTATGACGCAGAAGCGGTGCGACTGTATATTGCTCAAAAACAAGAAGAAAGGAAAAAACGGCAAGCAGAGGAGAGGAGGGCTCAGCGGGAGGAAGAAGAGAACAAGAATAAACGCCTACAGGAGCTTTACAGGAGACAACGAGCAGGGGCCACCAAGGGCCCAGTCACACCTGAAGGTCCAATAAAGAAGCGGCTCCAGGAAACATACACCAAACTTCTGCTGGAACAGACTCAGCTCAGAGAAGAGATCAATGGCGGTGCCATAACAAACATAGTCCAGCAGGTAAACGTTTATTGAACAGCATTTTTGCAGTTAAACATCTTGTTGAACTTATTATTTAAGATAATACAGCTATTATATTTTATTATATTGTTAAATAAAAATGCTCAAATATTTTGAGTGATTTATGAGAAAAGTAATTATATTAAATTGACACAGTTTTAAGGTAGACCAGCAAGTTTGTCATCATTCATTTTTTTTTAATTAAATTGATTGTGACAATAAAAGTGACAGTAAAGACATTTATAATGTTACAAAAGATTTCTGTTTCAAATAAAGGCTGTTCTTTTGAACTTTCTATTCACCAAAAAGATTTATCACAAATGAGAAAATGAAGCCTAATTTTACAAAAGTTTTTTTATTAAGGAGCACAAATGTTTTCAACTTTAGTAATAATTAGTGGTCGACCGATATATCGCCTCAGCCGATATTTGGCATTTTTCAAATATCGGCATCGGCTGATAAGTTTTTCTGTTTGGCCGATGTGTTCGACTTTTATTTTGATGGCACGCCTGACTTTTATTTTGATGGCGCTGAGAGCGGCAGCACCTGCGCACACAGTGTTCACATTCTCCTTGTTCGCTGTTGTCATTAATAGATCTGTCTAATACGGACAGAAATCTGTCTAATAATCAGAAAGAACTGTTAAACAAAGGAATTAAAATGTATACAAAAAAGTATTATAACGATTGCTTTCATTAAAGTATAAGTATGTTTATTTTACACATTTATTTATGTGTATTATTTAATCCATTTTCAAATGATTTAAAATTTCTTAAATATTAAAATAAATAAAATGATATCGGCTTTATATCGGCCATCGGCCACCCTGCTTTCCAAGATATCGGCATCGGCGTCGGCTGTCAAAAAAACAATATCAATCGACCACTAGTAATAATAAATTTATCATATAGGATCATGTGACACTGAAAACTGTAAAACTGATAATTCAGCTTTACCATCACAGGAATAAATTAAAATAGTAAACAGTTAATTTAAATTACGATATTTTACAATATTACTATTTTAACTGTATTTGTATTGTAATGAATAAATGCAGCCTTGGTGAGCATAAGGGACTTCTTTAAAAAAAAAAAACTTATATAACTACATTATATACTGAATATCATGATCATATTAACTATTGGACACCCTGGTGTCTAGACAAAATCCATAATGATCGACCACTATAAAGTACACTAAAAGTGTTTTTGTTGTTACATTGCAGCCGAGAACAGTATACCAGCCATCTGGAGAGTCTGATAAAGAAAACAAAAGACATGATCGACCTCAAAGTGCCACCTCCAGCAGTGATCTGTCCCTTACGGGGCAATGCCAGCCTCCTTTCTCCAGGTAAAACACAAAGAGTCCCATTCCATTACATCATCTGTATCATAAGTGTAATGTTTGGTTTTCCTGCTAAAAAACCCTGCTTCTGTAAGCAAAGAGCTACCTTTTTTTTGTTGTTATTTATCTGTTCTAAGCACTGAAAAGATTAACAAAATATCTCCTTTCCCTAAATGGGAAGTAATTTGTATTCCCTTACACAGATGACATGCTCTTATTTCAAGTAGTTCTGTAAGAACAGATTAATCCGTCAGCTCAGTGCTTAGTGAGAAGTGTTTGTTGCTAGCCTGTTTCGGTTTCCATGGCCACCTTTAAGTGCATGTAGTTGGCGGCGTCTTGTGCGTATTGAGTTTGTGAACACTGGATGTTCCTAAAAATGGATTAAAACTGACTTCTGAATCTCCTAATTAATTATTTTGGTGAGATTACAAAATTTATGCCATATGTGACTCAATTAAAAATATTTACTATACGTTTTTTTATGTTAAGTGATGTTTTTATGTAGCAGTCTTTTTTTTTTGTCATTATTGTACTTTAATAATCTGTTGTCTTGTATTGTTTCTGTAGGAATGGTTTGGGTTTTGCAGGGTCACCCTGGCTTCAATCTGACCAGTGTAGTCCTGCTCTGAGGGTCAGCAGCTCCCTAGCACCTCCTTCTGGCCATATCTTCTCTCAGCTGTTAGAACTTGATCCAGAACCTTCAGTACCTAACAGAGAGTCCCTAACTGCACATGCAGTGTTTCCCTCAACCACAGGCCACAAAATGAGTCGTATTGAGGCTCTTAAGGCCACAGCTGCCTCTCTCTCCAGCCGTATTGAGAGCGAGGCACGTAAGCTAACCGGTGCCGGAATAAACTACGGTTGTGCCAGGGATACAGGCACGGGTCTTTTAATCCCTAATGATGACCGCTGGGCTAAACCTGTCAGTCCGCCAGTCAGAGAGAATCCGACAGATTCTGATGACCTGGTTGAGAGGATTGAAAAACTGCTTGCTGCGGGTCAGAGCACCTATGATCAGGCCCTTCCAGGTGTGGGCAACCTGCACAGCTTTAGGGAGAGGATGGAGACTGGGAACAAACAAACACTTGCACCTTCTGGCCTCAACTCTAGAAACAAACGCAAGACCCCTTCTCCTCCAAAGCCCTTTGTTCAGGAAGTTGAGCTGGACTCCAGCGGAGGTTCTATCAGTGAGGGTCCTCTGCTGAGTGAGGGCAGTATATCTGACGAAGACCTGCAAGAGCTGCCCAAATCAAGACTGGGAACCACAGGATACAGTGCACACCTGAATGGAGACAGTTTGAACCCAATTTCACGCTTTCAGAAAGAGGCAGAGAAGCACCTGCCCTTTAATGTGTCAAATATGGTACAAGAAGGAAGCAATGGACCATGGGAAGAACTGGCCAAGGGAAGCCCACACAGTGTTATCAATATATTCACAAAGAACATGAGCTACAGCAAAGGTGAGAACTTCAAAAACTTATTTGATCTGTGTTATTTCACTTTGTGTACTATAGCAGGACCAAACAAGGATTTTTCTATACATATTTTGTCAAAACTATAATATTTAAATGTTTAAGTATAATATTAGACAACTTTAAAATTTGAACAATATATAAAAACATACAAATAATATTAATATTTTCTAAAGAATAATTTAGAAAATTGTTTTTGTTTAAAAATATATAAATAGTAGTTGTTTGTTTTTTGCTAGAAACAGCTTAAATGTGTTTATTATTCAGCTCATTCTAACTGATGTGTACAAGACTAAACAGCATTTATTTAATGAAAAGTGAAGTAATATTGTGCAATATTATTGGATTTTTTTTACTACATTCTGCTTTTATATATATATATATATATATATATAATCTTGAGATGGCAAAGCTGAATTTAAAGCTGCCATTACTCCAGTCTTCACTTTCAAATGATACTTCAGAAATAATTGTAATATGCTGTTTTGATTCACAAGAATCAGTTTTCATTATCAATGTTGAAAATATCTTAGTATCATTGCTTCTTAATATTGTTGTGGGATTTTTTTTTATTTGAAATAGAAAACTTTTGTAACATTATACATATCTCTACTGACACTTTTGATGATCTTAATACTTAAAAATATTAATTTATTTAAAAAAACTAATTTTACTGACCCCAAACTTTTGAACAGAAGTTTACATTTTCATTGAACATATTTGTTTTTGTAGCATTTGAAGAAAGGGGTGGTAAGAGATCTCTGGCTCTCCGCTCTGCTCTGTCTGGTGCCAGCTCATTGGATGGAATGGTCTACGAGGAAGACTTTGTTTCCTCTCGCGCCAGTAGCCAATCAGCATCCAAGAGAAGTCCCAATGGGCTCAGGTAAAACAAAATAGTTTTACTGCTCAATAGATCACTACCTTGTATATTCAAAATATTTTTATAATTGGAAAAAAGGAAGTAAACACAAAATGTCTAGTATTCAGCCTGAAGAGGGCAGTGTTGCTCTATAATCATACCATCCTTCAGATTTCACGTGCTCCATGTAGATTCATATACATACGGATATACTCTGATGCCTTCTCTCCACAGTAATGGCCACGGTCGGTTCAGTCCTCCAGATGAGGTGCTAAGTGTTAGATCTGCATACAGTAACAGAGCTGGGGAGAGATCTCAACATTCACCAGCTCTTACACCCCTCTCCTCTCCACACTCAGCCAGCTCAAGCAGCAAGAGAGGTCAGATATGTTATAGAGGTCCACATCATGTGATCTTGCGTGTAGTACAGTGTGAAATCCATTTCTGTGCTCCGTGTACATTCCTATAGGGATATATCAGAAGTACTGGTACATAAACACCAGTATATTTGTAGAATCAGCAATACTGACTGAATTTCACTTATGTTGGTTGTGAACACTGACATTTTTGTATCATGATTACATTCCTAATTTCATCTGTGTACATTCCTACAGCTTCAGAAAGGAGCTTGCTGGAGGGACAAAGAAACACATCCTCTGCAATCTCTGATCTCCCTGCTGAGGGTTTTAAGAAGAGCGGCTCAGAGAAAGCATCCAGTCGCAGCTCTCACAGGAGCGTGGACACAGACAGCACACTGGGGGGTGTCTCAGTCCACTCCATCCATAGGTAAGGCCTGGTAAACACATTAACTCACACTGATAACATGTAAACCTTGAAGCAATGGTAGGTCTAATAAAAGCATCTGAACAGTCTCTTGCATGTATCTTCATTGCATTTTTAACGTTGGCATAGTTGAAGTTTTAAAAAGAGAAAAGCTTTGATTTTGATTTACTAGTACAGTCATCTTTCATTGCCATTCTGCTAGTCTGCATGTCACCGGACATGAACTCTGACATTTTGAGCACAGAACGGAAATATCTTTAAACGCAATATCCATGCTGTTCCTGTTTATCATAATTATTAGAACCCAGAGGAGCCAATGTCAATATTAGTTCTGCTATATGTCAGGTGGAGGGTATAAGTGTTCAGCCTGCTGTAGTTTTTCAGAAAGCGAGACGGGAGGCAACATGCACGTTCACACTGGTTCTTTTGTTCAGTAGGTTAGCTGTGCTGCAGGTCAGGCTCATTGCCAATGAGATATTTCCCCCTAGTGTGACATTCGAGCCTCCCTGTGGCATTTGTTGAAGCCTGCGAGTCAGATTCCCCTCATGCCTACCTGTGTTTTCAGCTGTATCTTCCAGAGATGTGGTCTCTGGATGGGTTTATACAGCAGCAGAGAGTTTTAACTGCATTAACATAAGTTTAAGGGATACTCCCATCATCAGCGCACTTCTTGGACATTATTTCCAGCTACAGTAGCACAAAGACCTTATTGTTAAGAGATACTGGACTATTGGAAGTTTTGGTGGTCACAGTAGAGTGGTGTGCACCATACAGCTCATCCTGTTAGCTTGTACCATTTTTTAATCTTATTCGTATTTTTAGCTTAAAAAGTTTACCTTTTAGATTCAGGGTTCCCACACTTCTTGAAAGTACTTGAATTTCAGGCATATGGATTCAAGGCCTGGAAAGTACTTGAAAACAAACATAGGTCCTTGAAAGTGCTTGAATTAAATTTTAAATAATTTTTGTTTATGGCGCTATGTAAAAATTGTCCTATATGTTCTGTCGAACAAGCGGCACTAATGATTGGGGGTGGAGATGGAGGAGCGCGTAAAACGGAAACACTGCATGCATTTAATAAAATTAGAAAAATGCATTTGCAGAGGTATAAAGAAAATGCGCTCCTGATTACAAGAAGACAAACACTGCTGTTAAACTGGTTGTGTGACGGGTATGGCTGTGGAATGGGGTTTAGCTGAGGAAAAATTCAGTCAAAAGATTTTTTTTTGCTTTAACCCCGTAATTTTCGCACATCAGGGAGCCGTATCAATATGCGGGGTATTGAAATCACATTTGAATAAGCGG